CAAAACTTTTAATTCCTCTGCATAATATACGCTCGGCACTTGCATTTAGAGCGTCAGCAGCTAGTTTTTTAGTCCTCTCTGGGGATAATCACCCACATGCCTTTTACTAACTAGTTAGAGAAAATGATACCTGATAAGGTTTCTTGTGGTACAATGATGGCATTGGTGACACCATCGAAAGTGACATCAGCCACCGGAGATTCATCTTCGTAGACCGGCTTTGACGGAAGCAAAGAGACGGTAGCCGGAGATAGTCCGCAACTGAATAAAAAACTCTCAGAACCGTCTATAGGTAGAAAAATTCATTACGGTAAGGTACCTCTCGAAGGTCTCGTTATTGAATAGTGTGTCCCTTGAACAACCTTCAGTTACGTGGCCTGCTTGGAGTTTAACCGTCGAGTGAACGCTTTTCACGTCACAAGCCGATTCCTGAAATCGGATTTTGTCAGACGTAACCAGTAAAGGGGTAAAGCTGTCCTGGGTAAACAGCCGGCTGACCTACCTGTGCACAAATATGAGCTTGAACGTTCGGGAGTACAAGTTTTGGACCATTTCCGGCCATGTAGCTGAGCCTGAAGTGGGGGTGGTCATGGATCGTCGGAGAGAAACTCCCAAAGAGAACACCTACCTGTCAGTAACGCCAGTATGTCCCTGGACGCAAGTTTCCTTGACGTTTACCGTAACCAAGGCGCTTTTACTTCGTCTCATACCACAATCAATTGCCACTACCGTAAGAATGTACGATTTTGCTGCAGTGTAGTTTAACGGCTTGGTATTTCGTAAAACTCCCTGGAAATTGAGAAATTGATGAGAACTTGCCCCCTTTGCAGTAGCTGATTTATCTCATTTTGGTTGCAAAAGCGATTCAATTCCCAACTTGGAGAGTCTTTGAGTCTTCGAGAAGTAGACCGAGACATTAAATGAGACATGTTTCCCAAACAAACCTGATTATTTATGGTAAATGGGAAGTCGTTAAGTCCGTTTGCAATTTCGAAATCGCAAATCTGTCCATAGGGATTACCACAATCGGCATCCGTGGCTTTTAGTACAGCGATTTCATCGTGAATTTTTCCTAGAATTTTCAAATTAGAGCTTTTTAAACGCAAACGGATAGGGGCACCTCGTCCAATTTGTCCCCTCACCTTCATCAACGGTGAATGTGTACCATGGGCTGTCGAATTCCGGTGAATGGTTGTTCGTGTCCTTGACGGAAACTTTCAACACAACCCTGAAATAAGTTCCATCATTTGGAGGTAAAGGTACCCCAGCGGCATGTCGCGCTATTCCGGTTCGGGGCCCACCCATACCAATTAATGTCCTCCTTAATTATCGTGATCAAGTTTCTCGAAATCAAAAACATCGCCCATAAGATCCCAGATGGGCATTCAAATTCCTCCCGAAAGTGGACCTGGACAAAGGCTGGACTAGGGGTGTTTCCCCAGAATAAGCTTCAGACATCATTTTTCTCCAATTATTTCTTCCTAACAATCCACTTCATCAAGTTTAGCTTACATTGACAAACACCCATGTTGAGATTCAAAGATCTTCCACCTTGAATGGGTTTGTTTACCTCTTCTCTTAATGAACACCCAAAGCAAATAAATAAGAGGAAAATGAAGGTCAGCTTAGATGGTAACGATAAACATAATCCATCATCGCTGTCTCACAGAAGCATCTACGAAAATTTTTCTGGTCCTCACCAACATCGTCCTCCAATTGACCTAATTCCCCCAGTAATTCCCCAGTACCGCCTCCCCAAAAGGGAAATTAATGTGAGGCACGATAAAGCTCCATGGAAGAGATAAGGGACTTTGCCAGGAGCTCCCATAAACAATCGCTTGCCGTGTGATTCAGATGAGTCAGGACGACTCTTGGAGAACCTGGGTAAAATGACATGGGCAGGGTTTAAGCGATCAGACGTCGGCCATGTAAGTTGCCCACTTTGGTCTCTGGTTGCCGGAACTGGTGGTTATTTACGGGACCAGGAATAACTCTCGGACCACCGACGACATACATCTCCTTTGGTCTTCCCACCTTGGAAGTCGTTCCACACCCACCGTGGGAGTTGATCCTTTTAACATGGACTTGTCTTGGCTGTTAATCAGGTCTGTAGCCCCAGAACCCCGTTCGCTGCCAGCAAATTACAATCGCCTGTCCGTGCCCCGCTTCCAGCTCATTTCTTCTACTTGTCATGTCTTCAGAATAACTCGAAGGCCCCCTGTTGAGAGTTCTGTGAATGTTACGTTCGGGCAATTCACCCAGCACTCCACATGCGATCCATTCACGGCTAGCACTTGTCGGGTTGGGTTTAATTAAACGTTTCGTTCGCCCTCGGGCTCATAAAAAACACTCGTCGGGCGAACTTGGCGTCGTCGCCTCGCGCTCGCTGCTGGCTCCGCCTCGGCTCCCCGACGTCAGTATGGGAGTGGGCGGAGTTTGCCGGTGTTGTATGCTTGTGTGGATGGGAGGCAGCAGCATACACTAAGTTACCGTAATCTAATAGACGTAATCATGTGCGACGAAGATTTGCGCGCTCATTTGAATTGCAATAAACAGATTAATTGCGCTTCACAGAGGCTGCGACGATGTAATTACTCGACACGAACATCAGTGCTTCTCGAAGAGGAGACTAGCCGGACTGACGGAAGGAGGAGGCGGTGAGGAGCTCTTTCAGATATCCCCCTGCTCGATTTCGTTTTCCACTAGACAGCACCTCTAGCGCTAAGCTTAAGTGGAGAAGGAAGTGGGTGGAGGAGAGCGGGGAGAGCAGAACAATAGGCGATTATAAGAAGGCTGCCTACTACTTGTTCCAGGTCGATCCCCACTTAGATGATGATGACGGCCTGTCCAGGACATGACCACGAACATACGCGAACCATATTTCGGGCTTTTTTTCTCAATCCACGGCACTGCTGACATGATTCTTACGCTATGCACTTGACCTTAATGAGTAAAGGAGGTAGAGACTTACGGTTCACTGCGGATGCTGTCATCCTCGCATCGTACAGCCACCACTTGCAGTTCATACTGGTTCTTTTTGCAGTCCAATGTGGTTGCATCCTGAAGTCGAAAGCAATTTCAAGGGAGTAAAACAAGCAAAATGAGTTCCAACGAACTTGAGGATGCCACTAGAGAACCTCAATTGTTCGAGGTTGGTTCAAGGTAAATAAAGGGTTCACCTTCACTCTGATGACGGCTGCTCCAGTGAACTGATCGATGACCTGCACGTCAAACGGTACGTCCTTGTCCGATACCGAACTGAGCAGATACTTGCATACGGGACCTGGAAATATCCACTCAATTAGGGGTTTCAAAGCAGAGGAAAAGAGTTTCGGAAATTTTCATTTCGATCCGAGGATGCGCCGTGTATTCTGCCTTTTTTCGAAATGGTGACTGATGGGAACTACCTTCAGAGGCAATTCAGAACTTTCGGAGCAAAAACTTCTGACAACTCTCTTGTATGGAAGGCTCAGAGCTCATCACAAGAACTGATTTCAATTTGCAAAACGTCTATGCCAATCTAAACCCCTCAATAGGGTAAAATACCCTTGAAAAGCTATTCAGCTCTGTCTGGGAATCAATGGTTGCCTGGCTTTTTCACGGCTACATTCACAACATATTGTTAAAGGACTTTGTCGACGTCAATTATGCTGCCCTAGGCGATTATTTCCCTGACAAAAAGGTATTCCCTGAAGCGATTAAAGAATGACAGCATGGGCAGGTACTAAGGTAATCCCGAGTTGCACCGTACCCTTCACGTTCTAAGGATCGAATTCCACCCAGTCCCACTAGACCCTCCCTCTTCAGAGGAGGTTAATCAATTCGGAATGTGTCTGGGAGAAGGAGAACCTAAGAAACCAGGCTTTTCCAGTTCTTCATTATGAATTCATTGATTGTGTGGGCCATTCTAAAGAAGCTGATTCACCCAGCCCTACAAATTTGCTCCTCAGATCCTCCCACAGGTCAAGACTCAGCAAAGGAAGCTTACACGAAACGTAATACCCATATCCTCTGGGAAGAACCCTCAAGGAATTCGCAAATGATGCATCCTTTCATTTCTGTCAATGTGAAGGCAAAGATGCCTCAAGCGATAAAGCCCCTCTACATCAAGCCTTCAACGGCTAGGCAGGGCAAATTCGGAAATCGACGGACGAGATGTCAAATGAAACGCTTCGCTTTGCACTTTTACAGACATCTGCTTAAATGAAACATGAACGTCAAAACTCCCCCATAAAAACCCTCATCTGAAGGTTTCATGAAGTCGTTCCGGGAAAATGAGAAGTAGTTTCAGATTTCCGCTTTTGTCCCCATTAAATAGGAATCAACCCACGTCATTCCCCCTTCTCATTGATCTTGTTCACCACTACAGTATCCCACACCGTAACCGCTCAAACTTAGATCCCAGCCCTACTAGATCTTGCCCTTCACCTGTGTTATCGATACAGGAATAGGCAATCCTAGAGCTTCTTAAGAAGTGGACCCGGCTGTTCTGGATATTACCCCAATCGATATCACCCTTTCATAGTAATGCTATATGCAGTAGTTGCGGATTACCACCACCACCAGCTGAGAAGGCCCCGGGTCATAATCGATCGGGGACGTCAACGAGGCGGGTTAATCAATGTCTATGCAATTTACGCTATTCCAGATGACGAGTCGAGACCCACAACAGTCGGAAATGGCTGGAACGATGAGCAATGGCTCGAAAACAAACCACATTAATGGCCAATCTGGTTGGCTCATTCGGTAATGGAACGAATAGAGAAGGAGGTAAGGGCATACGCTCCGCACATCTAGTCAGAAGTTTGGTGTTCTAGAGAAAAGTGGAGCAGTCTGATTGCTGGAATCGCTGGAAACCCATTCACGGGAAAAAGGTCGTTTTATCCATGCAATGAATGGATCCCAAACACCACAACACGGCATTCAAACAAAAAAGTCGGACTCCGTTTTCAT